GAAATGCCTGCTCCTTCGTTAAAACAGATATACAGGATGGGGAAAAGTAGGGTTACAGCTGTGAATACACAAAACACAGTTTATTCCTGTATTGCTACTTATTACTGTATTATTTTCCATACGAACAACTGTAAACCTATTTTTGTCCCACCATGTATATATACCTTCTGACAAGGTTTTTGCTCATCAGCTACCAGTGAGTGGACTTTAAATAATTTGCAACACGCTGTCAAAGTAAATGTAATAAAACTACATGCAGATTAGCTTTCTTTTCTTACAAAATAAAGCAATTCGTAGATGTTACTCCAACACCTTTGCTGAAATGTATTTATTTTATCCCCCCCCAATTCTTTTACAATATGCACAATGTAACGAGGTATGCAGGGTAGGCTACAATCTGGAAAGTTTCAAAGCCATCAATCTTACAGGCTTTCATCTAGTATGTTTCTGGTGGCCTCAGAAGGGATCATCTACAAGACCCCACATGATAGTCTGGCAATTAACTAGATGAACTGGAACTCTCAGAATATACAAATTAATAAGGCTCTTTTTAACTCTACTGTTTTCACTTCAATGCTTTATTACAGAGACAACAATATGCACAATGTAATATACGATTACAACTTCCAACACTAACACTACCACTCCCATCACACACACACGCACACACACAGAAACCCACGACTTGATTAGCAAAAATTAAGAAACCTCATAGTTCTAGTGTTGTGAGAGCATGGAGTAACCTGAGTTCAGACATTGCTCATGAGAGTGTAAACTGTACAACCACTCTGGAAAACAATTGGGTATTACCTACGATAGCTGAACATGTGCATATACTCCTGTATCTGTTCTCTTGACAAGTACACCAAGAGGTATGTGCAAGAATATTCACAGCAGTACTTTCATAAGACCAAAAAATGCAAACAACCCAAAAGCTGACTGAAAAAATACTGTGGCATATTAACACAATAGGATTTTAGATACCAGTGAAAAACTAATGAAGTACAGTTAAACACAACCTGGATGAATCTTAGGAACAATGATGCATTAAAAGAGCAAGTCATAACAGATTATATGCAATAAACTACCATGTTAATAAATTTCAAAAAGAAGAAAAATTAAACATGTTATTAGTTATGGAAACATTCGTGCAATTTTAAAAAGGAAAAATAAACACAAAACCCAGTATACATAAGGTCAGGCAGATGGACAGGGGAGTAACTCACCATCAACAGGATTGATAAAGTTATAGTTCTTAGATTGAGTGATAAACTCTTTAGTTCCATTATTAAGCTTTATGATATGTGTGTGTCTGTGTGTTGAGTGTGTCTATCATATAGAATCTCTGGAGAACTAACATTCCAGCTATAGGACAAGTTTAGCCCACTCATAAGATGACATTCTTAGTAACTGGGAATGATGCCAAGAAATAAAATCACTCTACTATTGATATTCGGTAACTTTTGTAGCAACAAAGAAATTACAGGTGTCTCAAAAAATTAAAGCAAGGGAGTGGGCAAGGGAAATGGGGTGACTATAAAAGAGCAAGTGAGGGATCCTTATAGTGATGGAAATGTTCTTCATCTTGACTGTATCAACATCAGTATTATGCTTATGATATTGTACTGTAGTTGTACAAGATGTTACCACTGGGAAAATGGTACATTGGATCTCTCTGTATTATTTCTTCCAACTGCAAGTGAATCTACGATTATCTCAAAGTAAAAGATTAATTAAAGAAAAGAAAACATAAAAAGAGATCATTTTCATCCAGGGTTTCTTCACCTTGGTACTACTGACATTGTGGGGCACATAATTCTTCATTGTTAGGGACTGGCCTGGGCATTGTCGGGTGTTTAAACAGCATCCCTGCCCTCCATCCATTAATGCCATTAGCATATCCCAGTTGTGACAAGATTTCCATACACTGCCAAAAGTTCCCCAGGGGGGCAAAACTGTCCCATTAGAGCAGTGGTTCTCAACCTTCCTAATGCCGCGACCCTTTAATACAGTTCCTCATGTTGTGGTGACCCCCAATTTCATTGTTACAAATTGAACATAATTAAAGCATAGTGATTAATCACAAAAACAATATGTAATTATATATGTGCTTTCCGATGGTCTTAGGAGACCCCTGTGAAAGGGTCATTTGACCCCAAAGGGGTCGCAACCCACAGGTTGAGAACCACTGCATTAGAGAATCACTGCTCTAGACATAAAAACAAAGAAGAGTTGTGGAAATGTTCCTCAAGATTGAAGGAGACTAAAGAGGCATGGCAACTAAACGCAATATCTGATCTTACACTGGATCCTGTACTAGAAGAGGAAAGAATGCTTTTATGAAGGACATTATTAGGTCAATTAACAAAACTGGAATACCAATGATAAATTAAATAAAAGCATTGTATCAACATTAAATGTGATTTAAACTAAATTGATTACTGCGATGTAATTATGTCAATAATATTCCTATACTTAGGAAATGCACAATGAAGTATTTAGGAGTAAAGGACCATCCTATATAATAAAAGCCTAATACGCAAATTGTCCCCTCCATCGGGAGTTTGGGGGCGGGGGGGCTGGCCGGCCAACTGCCTGCAGCCCCTCCCTCTGGCTGGATCCCACCCATGCACGAATTCGTGCATTGGGCCTCTAGTGATGTATATAATCTACCATCAAATGATTCAGAGAAAAATATATATGTGTATCTGTGTGTATATATATTTTATATATACATGTGAATAATATTTGTATAGTAAAGGCCTGGTGCATGAAATTCGTGCACAGAGGTGGGGGTGGGTCCCTCAGTCCAACCTGCACCCTCTCCAATCTGGGAGCCCTCAGGGGAGCCCTCTCCAATCCGGGAGTTTCTGTCTATCTTTGCATCAGATGAGCGAATTGTCTGAGACCCCCCCCAACCCAGTTTGGTGCTCACAGAATAATAGGTTTTTTTTTTTCTTTGCTCCATTGGTGGAGATTTCCTAGAAGTTGCAGGATATCTTCCTTTTAATTTTTCCTCAACACTCTAACTTTATTTACATCTCTCACCTTTGCTTTCCCTCCATCCCCCACCCGCAAGAGTAACTTGCTCCAGACTCACTTTGCTCTAGTGCAGCGGTTCTCAACCTGTGGGTCGCCTCCCCTTTGGCAGTCGAATGACCCTTTCACAGGGGTCGCCTAAGACCATCCTGCATATCAGATACTTACATTACGATTCATAACAGTAGCAACATTACAGTTATGAAGTAGCAACAAAAATAATTTTATGGTTGGGTCACAACTGTATTTAAAGGGGGCCCATGCATGCTGCCCACAGGCCCACCATCTTTGTCAGGTTAATTTGCATACTCACTCCTGATTGACTGTGGGCCTCACAGAGGGATGGCCAATTTACATATTTGTCTATCATTAGTATAGATATATCATACATGAATCTGATGAAAGGATATACAAGTGTGTTCATTGTACTATTTCTATTCTTGCAACTTTTCAATATGTTTGAAATTATTTACAAATAAAAAGTTGGTGTGTAGCCAAAACCGGTTTGGCTCGGAGGAGAGAGCATCGGCCTGTGGACTGAAGGGTCCCAGGTTCAATTCCGGTCAAGGGCATATACCTTGGTTGTGGGCACATCCCTAGTAGGAGGTGTGCAGGAGGCAGCTGGTCGATGTTTCTAACTCTCTATTCCTCTCCCTTCCTCTCTGTAAAAAATCAATAAAAATATTTTTTTAAAAAGTTGGTGTGTATTTTTTAAAGTGGAACAAAAGTTGTGGTCCTTAAAATTCTAATGGCAGGTTTCACGGTACTCCAGCATAAGTGATAAAAATCCCAAGACTGGATAATGACTGCTGACTGGATAAATCCCTCTGTCAAGCCTGGGGCATTCTTGGAAAGAACTGTCTACCTTCAGCCTATCTCCCCTTTCCATTCTTTCCAGAGGTGACCTCTTGAATAGTGCAGAATCGAAAGTGAATCCATCCCATTTTTAAAAGGCCATTTCTAGCAAGTGACTCAAACTCACACCCCTCACTCAGTTCCTCCACTAATCACTGAGGCATCTTCACTCTAAATCATTAAGGAAAAACGCAAAAAGTGTACACGTATTCCTCAAAAGAAAACCACTTATATGCTCAACTGAGCAAAGAGAGGAAGAATGTCAAGGTGAGTGGACTAGAGAAGAGACAACATCCACGTCTAGGAGGGCTGAGGGAAGGAGGAGGTAAAGAGAGAGAGGCGGGGAGCCAGCCAGTCTTAGTGAAGCACGAACGGTGTGCCAGCCATTCAAAGGGACTCGCGAGGGGGTGCGAGCGCGCCGGCGGGAGAGGAGCTCACCTGGCGGTGGTGAGCAGCGGGTGCTGAGTCCCCACCAGCTTCCGCACCTGCATAGCGATGTTGCTGAGCTCGTCGCTCAGTAGGCAGCGGAGGCTCATGAAGGACGTGGGGTAGCCCACGATCTTCTCCGCCTCCGACACCACCTGATTCCAGTAGGCCGGGGCCTTGGAGGACTGGCCCCGCCAGGAGCCCACCGAGACGGGGCCGAGGGACGGGGACCACCACAGGCGGCGCGGGCGTCCCGGCGCCCGGAGATGGCGGGGCGAGCGCAACAGCAGTGGCGGAAGGCTCATAGTTTTTGAGTCTGGGAGTGTCAGGGGCTTCGGGGTGCCCGGAGGTGGCGCGGGGAAACTAACCAGGGGCAGAGGAGGAACTTGCTGGGACTAGAAGGAATCGGCGACTCTTGACCCTTAGCGGTGCGTGGGTTCCAGAAGCTGTAACCAGAAGCGAACTTGAACAGCAGCTGTCTGCAGCCCAGCCTAGATAGATAATTGCCCTAGCTCAGCACTGCCCCCGGCCAGCTGGGGTAGAAACCACGGGGGATGTCTACATGGGGGATGCCATCTTTAGAGGCGGGGAATGCGGCCTGTCGTAAAGACGGAGGCGGGCTATTCTGGAGCTAAGACTGCTCCCTGCTTTACGGCACAGCCGTGAAAGCCCAGAGGGGGCGTGGCTCTGGAGGTGGAGGCCTCAGCTCCTCCCACCCCCTGGCTCTGGCCTGTGGGGACCGAGGGTGGCGGGAATGGCGGGGCCGATACTCAGTGTTGGAGTCTGGATTCTACTAAGCCCAGTGTGATCATCAGAGCATCCCCAGCGCCCAGCACAGCGTGGGCACACAGAAATATTTGTGTCATGAACGAGGGTCTTTTTTGCGGCCTCCAGCCCGCCCGGAAAGGAGGGCGTCGGCCACCTTCTCTGGAAAGCCGTGGGCTGGTAGCTCTCATCGTCCGCCCCGGCCGTGGTCCTGGGCCCGCGTGGTGGCCACCTCTGCGGCTGCGGGCTCTGCGGAGCTGTGGCTCGGGGGTAGTGGGGATGCAAAGCGCACGCGTGGGTCTGATCTCATGCCCTCAGCTCCCAACCAGACGGAAAGTGGCGTGGCCCGGCCCAAAGTGTTCTTTTCCCCCAAGGAATGTCCTCTGACTTGATCCAAGTCACTGGCCTCCTCGCTGAGGCTGGTTTAACCCCCGTGGGCAGAAGCAGCCGTACCTCCCTCAAGGGTGCGGAGAGTCACCCCTTTGGAAGAGCTCCCCTTCCAGGATTCCGAACTGGACCGCTGACCCCAGTACTTTAGTATAGCTCGTGTATGATCGCAGAATCCCCAAAGCAACCCCATTGGGTAGGTAGTATTCTCCACGTTTTATATGAAGAAACTGAGGCACAGCCAAGTCCTGCAAATTACCTAAGGCCACACTGAGCAGGGGTGGGAACCCAAGCAATCTGGTTTCTAAATCCACGCTCTGAACTACGTTAGAGACTCTCAAAATGACACCTTACCAACCATTCTTTTTTCCTTATTGCCGTCAGCGTGGTTATCATTCTATAATGCAACCTATTCTTTTTTTCAAGTATGTCTAGCATCCTCTCTTGTCATCCCAAACAAGTGTTAAACCCTTATTAATAAAAAATTATGTATTATGCAGTTTTACACTCTTAAAAATAGCTTGCAAAGCTCTCTTCAACTTTCAAAATCCTTTCAAATTCATGATTGATGTATTTTAAATTAGCATCATGCATACTACTGGACTAGACTTGGGCTCCGTTTAAAAATCGGACTTAACAAGGGGCAAATTAAGGAATAATTATTCACTTTGCAAAAAGGTTTAGCCCAGACTCCCTTTGAATGGCAAATTTCCCTCATGATTTAAAAATTGGATTTTATTGCCAAACATTCAGTTTAGGCATAACTCTTCAGGGATACATTTTAGATAAAGTGAGTTATGCTCAGAAGTATTAAACACAGTCTGTGCCCACAAAATAAGTAAGGCAAACTAAAAGTTCAAAAATAATTCATTTGCAAGAGATAAACTCCTGGCAATAAAATTCAGGTCTGTTCTAGATGAAAGTAAATGTGGGGAGTGCGATACCTTACCATTCCAAAAAGTTCCGAGGCCTGAGCTGGGTTATCCAAGGTGAAAGAAGTCATGAACAAAACAGGACAGATAAAGGCTGAATGTGATATATTGTGACCCTGAGGCTGTTTCTTCAGAATCACGGTACCTTAGGGCTAACTTTTCCTGCAATTTGCTTAATACCAATTCACAACATGTACTTTAATTTCTCCACAGAAGCCAAGTGCATTATTCTCTGGTCATACTCTATTAACCAAGTTTTTTATTATTCATGGGACTCTTGGTCCCATTTATTTTAAATAATCAGCACTTTCCTTCATGCTTACAGTTAAAAGGTTGCGTTATACCTAATGATAATCAGTTTTTAGAAGGTTAAAATGGTATTTGTTCTTTAATCTTCCAGATAAATATATAACTCCTTAGAGTCTCTTTGACTAAAGAGATTTCGGAATTGCAGGTGACTTTCAGAGGAGCGGGGAGGAGTGTCTGTGATTCTGCCTTTCCTGAACTAACAGTGCCTACAGTCACTTCAAGGATGTCTGTGAGTGTGTGCTTAAAGAAAGAATACAGCAGGGTTTCTCAACCGTGGCTTTATTGACATTTGGGACCAGATCATTCTTTGTTGTGGCGGGGAGGGCTGTTTCAGTGGTCGGCAAACCGTGGCTCGCGAGCCACATGCGGCTCTTTGCCCCCTGGAGTGTAGCTCTTCCACAAAATACCACGTGCAGGCGCACACGTACAGTGCCATTGAAACTTCGTGGCCCATGCGCAGAAGTCGGTATTTTGTGGAAGAGCCACACTCAAGGGAGCAAATAGCCACATGTGGCCCGTGAGCCGCAGTTTGCCGACCACTGGGCTATCCTGTGCATGGTAGGGTGTTTAGCGACATCCTGGCCTCATACTCACTGACTGTGAGCAGTATCCCTGTCCACCTTAGAACAACTAGATTTGTTTCAAGACATTGCCAGAATATCCCTTGGGGGCAGAATCGCCCATGAGGCTACAGGGAAATGGGAGAAGCTAAAGAGAAAAATAATTTCCACCCATGGCATTGACTTTTACAAAGCAGCAAAGAAAAGGTCCTGGGTGTGGGCAGCCCTGCGGGTTAAAGGAACCCCCAGCCTTACACAGGCACATCTGCTGGGCACTGAGTTGCTGTGGAGACAGCAAGCTGACACCTTTCTCAGGACCCTGACGCTGGTAGAGGACCAGTGGACTTTACCTACTGTTCCTCTACATTCTGCTGACCTTAGGAAGAAGGAAGGTCATACCTGGTGTCTCTTTTTTTTTTTTTTTGGCTGGAAACCTGAACCAGCCTTTGGAAATACAAGGTCTTAACAAGGATGGTGTGTGCTTTGGGCTTTGGCATTTACAAGATTAGGGGAGTGGAAATAGATAGGGACATTGCAGCTACCCTCCTTCTAGCACTCTTAACACAGTCACCTATTGTTTATGCAAGCGAGTTCTTCCAAAAGCAGATGAAAGCATTGTGGTATATCTTGAGGCCCAATGATAAAAGGAGGCAAGTAATCAGATTAGCAAAAATCCAAAAGTTTGACCACCTACTGGGTTGGCAGACTGTAGAGAAAGGAAGAACACATATTGCCAAGGAGAATGTAAAATGGTACATAGCACCTATGAAAAGGAATTTGATAATCCCTAAAAAATTACATGTATATTTACCCTTTGACCTAAAAATCCCCAAATACAAAATGACTTATGCACAAGGTTATTCATCACAGTGTTATTTGTAATAGCAAAAGATTGAAAACAAACTAAATAACCACAAGTAGGGAACTGGTTGAAATAACTATGGTAGAGCTATACGACGAAACACACTGTGCAAGTCTGAAAAAGAATGAGGGCCGTCTCTTTAAAATGATGTGGAATAATCACCCCTTGTCTGCTTTCACCGCCCCTCCTGGGGACAGGTTTACAGCTCACCTCCACCTCTTCCGAACCTCCATTCCAGGCTGCATAGGCCAAAAACCTTCCCTCTTTCATCTCCAGTTTAAGGGAAGGACTCTAGTTTTTAGAAGAGTAGATGGAGAGCTGAATTCTCCCACGTCCAATAACCCTTACTTAGGGTTCTAAATCTGGATTTAAAAGGCCCATGAATAAATTTCAATTCAGAAAGTACCTGAACCCATGAAATGATCTGTAAAGTTCCGTGTGTCTCTCTATTTCTTGGAGAAGGGGTCTACCCTTAAGTTGTCTTTGGATTATCCAAGAAGGCCATGATTCAAACAAGAGGTTAAGCACTGCCCAACCAGCATGGCTCAAATAGATAGACAGACAGACAGATAGATAGAGCTGAACGTCAAGTGGTTATGGATAGCAAGTGGCATGAAAAATAGGAACCAGGAGGTCAGGGTTTGATTCCAGTCGGACACACTTCAGGGGCGCAGGCTCAATCCCCAATGTGGAGTGTGCAGGAGGCAGCCAATCAATGGTTTTTCTCTCATCATTGATGTTTCTATCTCTTTCCCCCATTCCCTTCAACTCTGAAATCAATAAAAGTATTTTTTTTTTTTAAAAAAAGGAAGTTCCCACTGGCTGAAAGGGGGACAATCTGAACATGAAAAAAGGATAAGAACTACAACTGGTTGAAATTCACTGATGACATATAAATACTTCAGTTTAGTATTAGATGTAACTAGAGCAAAACTCTGAATATTTGTAATATAATGGAAGAATTGAGCATTTATCCTGCCTTTCCTGCGGGAATTATATTTAGTGGTGTTTAAGCCTGGCTTACACCCTTGAAAGTTGAACCTGAGACAAGGGCTTACTTTTAGGTAGTTTATTTTGGACAGCCATTTCAGGAAACAGCAGTGAATGACAAGAGTGAAACAGGGTAAGTTAATACAAGGGTGTTCTCAAGTTAGCCATCACTGTGGGCAATAAAACCCGGAGTCTTCTGGGACTCTTTGACTTTCCCTGTAGAATATACTTCAGAATTGCCAGCTTGATACAAGAGAGAAACAGTTATTTACTAGCTCCCAGCTCCCATTGGTCCAAATTTCCCACTTGGGGCCTTAGTCCCCTCAGACTTCTCAGCTGTCATGTAAGTGCCAGGCAGATATCCCACCCTCATGGAGTCAGAGGAACTCAGGGGCAAAATGTGAGGTGCGTGCAGTGCACGTGAGAAGAGGTGCTGTTAGGTTACACCTGCAGAAAGCAGGCTGCTTCAGCAATGGCAATGGTAAGAGGCAGCTGAGAGGATGTGAAATAGGAAACAAGTCTCTTCTGATGGAGTAACCAAACAGCCCAGGCTGATGAGGGAGAGTTCTTCTTTATAAACTAATGCCATTTAATCAAAGAGAGGAAAAAGATAAGATTAGGAAATCACCATATTGTAATTCCTTATGTTGATTCAGGCAACAAAGATCAATAGGTGAGGCTGATGGGGAGCTCTGCAAGGGAGGCCTTTGGGCTGTTACCACCTGCAGACACTAACCAATCTCAGCATCACTAGCAGTGGGGAGCCCATACAGATGTGCCTCCTGA